TCATATAGACTCTATCCAAAATACTAAAGACCGACTCCTACAATATGCTTTGCATAGATGGCAAGGAATAAGAATCAAAGGGAAGATGGCTAAACTCACCCACGAGGCCTCCATGAACACTCGTTTTTTCTCCATGGCCACCGCACGAGCACGACGAACGATCATCAAGGTTTTTTTTGACCCAGACGACAACAATATCATTGCCATTGATAGGGCTCACTGCACACTAATCACCAGAAAGTTCTTCAAACAGCTATATACCTCCCAAGTCCTATCCCCGTATGGGGAAGAAAGGATTCAGGAAATACAGAACTTCCTTTTTTTTTTTTTTTTTTTTTGGGCATCCACATACGAGTTCACTTTCAATTGGCTATGGCGACTCAACGCCTAAACAACTCACTGTTCACATACACCGGATCACCCTGGGTATCCCACACGCGACTCTCTGAACACTCACACACACACACACTCGCTAAACACTAACTCTAGTTATGGCGGCTATGGCTGCAACTACCATATCGCTATGCTACGCTCCTCTCTCGCCCACTTCAGCTCCGGGCTCACTGCAGACCTCCTTGCACAAGTCGCTGTGGCAGCGCTTCCGCATGGCTCACRCAKGAATAAATGAATGGCTGGGCGCTGCAGGACTTCCTACTCCTAATGGACCGACATATCTCTTCTCAACAGTGAGACAAACTGGAGATAGAGCTGACAAAATAAGAAATAGGGACAACACTCCTCCAAATGAAGGAAGAGAAGACCCCTGGTATTGACGGCTTCCCCAAAGAATTTTGGGAACCATGTGGACGGATCTCAGTACCGACCTGTGGGAATACTACCAAAAGGTATGGGAGGCCGGGGAAATGGGGGATACTGTAGGGAAAGGAGTGCTTTAGAAACTACAAACCTATTACGCTACTCACCATGGTATATAAAATGTTTTCCAAAGCATTGGCCAACCGTATGGCGACAGTATTGGAAGAGGTCATTCACCCAGCCCAAACGGGGTTCGTGTCCGGCAGGAACATTCAAGAAAACATCCTCCTGGTTAATGACGTGGTCCAATTGGCGCGCCGAAAACAGGCAAACGCGACCATTATTTTTATAAATTTAGAAAAAACCTATGACCACGTGGATTGGGAATTTCTAGACATGTGTTTGGAAAAAATGAACTTCGGACCCACCTTCCGGCGCTGGGTCAAAATCCTCAATTATAATGCCACAACCTGTGTTCATGTCAATGGGTCAGTGACACCTCCATTTGAACTCCAACGGTCAGTGTGACAAGGGGACCCCATTGCCCCCTATCTCTTCTTGGTAATTATGGAAACTCTGTCAGTCAATCTCCGACAGAACAAAGACCTCACACGTATTAAGATATCGAATATCCCGGAAGAGGCAATACCTATCTGCTCCCTGTTTGCTGATGACCTTACCATAATGGTAGAGGCGACGGAGGCCAACATGGAAGAAATCCAGCACCTCATGAACAAATTCTGCCGCCTGTCGGATATGACAGTAAATTGGGGACAAAAGACTACGGGATGGTGGATGCATCACCAAGGGGGCAGACCTCCAGAAAACCCGAGAATCACATGGCTCCCCCCTGACGACCCCCTGAGAATTCTAGGGGCATTGATCACTGCTAGAGGAAGGCCAGCATCGAACGACGAGTGGCTGACCGGACGAGCACAAATTAAATTGGAAAAATAGAACAATAAATGCACATCCATCTTTGGGCAGACACTTGTCATTAATAATGTGATATTGGCCACACTCTGGTATAAGGTCATCCTATGGCCTATGAGCAACAGGGGGCTCAAGATACAGAAACAACAACTGGCGGCCTTCCTGTGGAGAGGCGATAGTAACATCACCCACGCCATAAGCCGCGTTGCGTGGGACTCAATGACCCAACCCAAGAACAAAGGAGGTCTAGGAATCATGGACCCGCCCACACAATTCCAGGCTCTCTCGATTCGCTGGCTTCAGCGTATCATCTTCTCACCGTCCTCCCCATGGGTTCCCCTTGCCCTGGCACAAATCTCTGACCTCGCTCCAGAATCTCCACCTGAAATCGATCCCCGCGTATGGCTCGAAGACAGGTACTGGAGGTTACCCAGGAAGTACAGAAACGGGGGATCTTACCGACAAACACTGGGTGCGTCTCCTACGTACATGGAGGAGGTTCCCCCCTCCCAACCGGCCTGTTCCAGAGAGGTGGGAAGAAATATTCAGGCAGCCCCTATTCGGCAACCGCTTAATAACGGATTCTGAAGGGTGTGTGCTCTGCGCGTCGGATTCACCATGGAAGGGTTGGGTGAAACACGGTGTACGAAGGGTTAGGGACCTCTGAGACACAAAGGCAAGGAATTAGAAGAGCGCGAAGAGGCTACGAACAACACTACGATATTGTCACCTCACCGAAAGGGCACCGAATGAGTTGATTGACAACTTCCCCCTTCACTGGTACACCACTCTTAGAAAAGGCCCCTGCACAAAGGAAGATGACTGAGTGGGGCTACCTGACCACGAGCAGGAGATGGGGCACGTGCATCTCGAGGACCAGACACGTGCTAGTTGAGGTCTTCTCCATTCTAAAGGACAACAGACTGCGTTGTAACCATCAACCCTTCATATGGAAGGAGCCAAAGGATGTTTATCGCATCAGGGTCATTGATGAGGGAGGTCACCAGAGGCGAGTGGCAATGGACCCTGAACGTCCCAACCACGAAGGGAGAGGCAAAAGCACTGACACTACGCAACTTAAAATCTAAATCTGCTTATCGAATGCTCAGACCCAAATGTAGATTATGCGATCGTGTAGACGACAGATGGTATCGTCACCTCAATATAGACCGCAGACTACTGAAACCCATCCGGTGGTTTGCACACTACAGCAAAAGACCCGCCAAAATCTTCGCCCTCCAGTGGCAAATAGAGCTCAGGTGTCTACCAACCAATGATTGGCTGATAGACCATACCCGCCTGGAACAACAGGGGAAGGCACTACCATGGTGCCATAAATGTCTCCTGAGCTACCCTGGGAGGAGGAGGGTTGAGACCATCGAACATATATTCCTCCAATGTCCCGCATCAATGCTATTATGGAGAAGTTGGGACAGGATCTGGCATCACATAGTTCCTGGAGCAGTCTGGCCATGGGACTGGAAGACCCTTCTCTTGGGGTATTACCTTCCAATCCGAGGGAAGACATTTGAGGAAAACATGTTCAGCCTAGGCAGACGGAGTGTCCTGTGGACTATACGGTGGATGAGATGCTGTCTTGAGATAGAGGGGGCGAGGGTGGAAGACGGCGAGGCCATGGAATCCGAACACTGGTCCAACACGAGATAGAGGCCCAATGGAAGACGGCTAAAGACAAGCTCGACCTGATGTATACCTGGGGGGACATGAACATGAACATCTCTACATTCAGCAAGGACTGGCTGGGTGGAGAGAGGGAGGGATGGGTGGCCGAGGTGAAATGGACCGGCCGCCAACTTGAAAGGGAATCTCAGGGAGAACCCCGGACATAGATAGTAAGAGACTACCAGCTGATCTTTCACGACTGGACCACGATTGATCCCGACACCCCGCTACGACCTGCTCAGGACTTCGCAGACCCTTTCCCACCCCACCCGCTGTCCTTAGCAGAAATACTACCGGCTGCATGAGACCCGGTTTCCAGCAGGTGAAGCTCCCCACCAATAGATGGAGTGGCCCGATAGAGGCTTTGGACGGAAAAAAAAAATGCTGGACCCGATTCCCCGCACGCGTCACTTCAAAAGATGATTGCTTATAAAGTAGCATTTAAGGGACGCTGGACCCGGTTTCCAGCAGGTTCAGTATACTTCAGCCAATGTCAGTCAAATGTCAGTTGATTTCAGCTGATTATTGTGCAAGCTCATTTCAGCCTTTTTCTGTTGCTTCAGCTTTTTTCAAAATACATGCCACTGCAGAGTGCAAAGACACAATAGGCGCCATGAGGATAGTAGGTGGATGGCAGCGGCTAGGGGAGGGAAGGAGACTCCACTAGTGCCCCCCAGTGTTTCTCCCCCCAATATCCGACCCTGCTGCAGGATAGGTATGGAAGAGTAGATAGGATATGGGACACTGGACCCGGGTTCCAATACAATGGCGTCACTTTCAAGATGTACTGTTTTGCAAAGATGTATTTAAGGGACGCTGGACCCGGTTTCCAGCGGAGCGGCCCGCCAGGCAAAGCCTCAATCCCGGTGGTTCTCTTACCCCCCCCAGGATAGAGGCCTTGCAAAAGGGCCTTAAAAAAAAAAAAAAAAAAAAAAAAAAAAAAGGCCCACCTTACACTGCGGCCGACTTTCGTCCAGCCCTTGCGGTACTTTGTTGTGGGCAGTACTTTGTGGCGATGCAGCCCGGTAGCCCAACGGTCGGCGACCTCCCCCCGTTTTCGGCCCGAACTCACCGGAATGCCTAGTTTCGGCCGGCGGGGGGCCCGAACTCACCGGAATGCCTATTTTCGGCCGGCGGGGGGGACCAGTGGTTTAACTGCTTTCTGTTGTTTGTCACCGGAATGCCTAGTTTCGGCCGGCGGGAGGCCCGAACTCACCGGAATGCCTATTTTCGGCCGGCGGGGGGGACCAGTGGTTTAACTGCTTCCTGTTGTTTGTCTGCCCACCCCCCTCCCCCATACCCTCCAGCTTATGTTCCTTGCTGATCAGAACATATACTAACACTCGATCTTAGCCAAAAGGCAGAGAAAGGTAGATCTACTTGTACTTTCCCTGTCTGCTGGTTTTTGCCTTGTTGCTTTTTGGCTCCCCATCTTTTTGCCTTGTTGCTTTTTGGCTCCCCATCTTTTCCTTCACTGCTTTCTGTTGTTTGTCTGCCCACCCCCCTCCCCCATACCCTCCAGCTTATGTTCCTTGCTGCCGCTTGACATACAACGCATTGTCGTCTCCTGCCGTTTGCCTTACCACTTTATGCCTCGCTGCTTTTGCCTTGCTGCTTTTTGCCTTTTGTTTTTTTGCTTCACGACCTTTCAACGCATGACAGTGCGCACATTGGTTTTATGCGCTTAGCTGGCTGACGGTTCTTATTCAAGTGTGAACATCCAAGTATTGCTCATAAGCATACCTTTTGACACAACATGCTGTAACGTCACGGACGTCTTATCACTGCAAAGACATGGACACACGCATGCACACATGCACACACACTGCGAGCCACACGAAAAGCGACAAGCCTTTTCGTTTTTTTGGTTCAATTGATCGATCAATCAATCAATCAACCAAGAGATATCGCCGTTGAACTCTCCAGCCCCTCAGGAATTTTTTGATTTCACACATCTGGATTCGACTCAGGACTGTGTTACAACAGTTCAGCGGTCTACCAACTTTTTTTCCCGCCCTCGTCCAATTGCCCCCAGATCTTTTCTGGGGGTCCCTTGACAATGCGCAAGAGGTGCCATGTGTCTGAAGACACCTGGCCCCTCCCGAACATTCGGGAAACAGGATGTCCAGGAGCCCCGGACAACTGCCCCAAATGTCTGCCCCAACTGTCCGCCCCAAGTGTCCAGGCTTCGGACTGAATCGGACACTTGGTAATGTAGCATTCTAGTTTCTTTCTAGTTCAAAGGGGGGGGTGCAAATATTACAAACTGTCCAGTGCCCTCAATCGAGCCAAAGATAATCCCCTTCTACTACCGAACAGCTACACTACAATAGCAGTTCACTTTTGACACGCACACACAGTGAAGCCCTGGCTGGCATGGATGTATTTAGTCGCGGTACTCGTCCATGAACTTCCTGTGGAATTCTCCAATCTTGGCAATCACGGCCGGCATCTTCTCTTCGCCAGGAAGGATCGTACACCGATAGTGGTAAGTGCCAGGCACCTGCACACCATCGAAAAAGAGGTAAAAGAAATTACAACGTCAACAACCAAATTCCTTTGAAGTTCAATCTATGTTTCTCTTCAAGATGCAAAGAGGAAAACGGTTCAAGTCCTTCGGGACACCCATTAAATTCAGACGGTACAGAGAAGATTAGCTTGGACACTGGGAAAGGACAAAACACATAAATTGGGAAGAGGGAAAAACGGAAAGGATTCACGTGTCTCAGATGTCTCAGAGTTCCAGTCCCGAGTCGCAACTTCCCTTGTAACATAGTCCCTCCAGCAGGAGCATTCTGGTAGGCCAGTAGGCCCTAGAAGTACCATAGAGTGATCCGGTAGGCACTGTAGGTCCTAGAAATCATGTAGAGTCATCCAGTAGGCCACTAGGTCCTAGAAGTCACACACGGGCCTAGACCAATATTTGTCGGTGCCTGTCAAAGGGCGACAAGCAGCTTAGTCCCAGGAAAGTCCGTGAAACATCCAGATGTGTCGAAAACAGACTGCAGCTGACAGGCAGGCATTTGGGTGCCATTCCGGAAAGATCCAAAATTGCCAACTGCAGCAGCAGCAAGTACATAAGGGTGGCCGAAGCAGAGAGTCAACACAACTTCCTTTTCGCAGTTTTGTGCGGGCGGACATGGGTGGGAGTTGACTGTAGGAGAAAGACATTCACAGAGACAGAGAAAGGGCTGTGTGTTGCAACCTGTCACCACAACAACCCCTTTTCCACCCAGAAGAGTAGATCCAAAATTGGAACAGCTTTACCTTTTCCACCCAGAAGAGTAGATCCAAAATTGGAACAGCTTTACCTTTTCCACCCAGAAGACTAGATCCAAAATTGAAACAGCTTTACCTCCATAGCAAACAACACCAAGCACACTAAAACCATTATGTCGCCTCTTCCTTGTGTGGTCCTTTCTTGGCTTCCCTTATTTTGGCTTTGTGCGGATTTTCTCATTCATTGTTGAGGAAGAGTGATTCGTACCTGTTACTTGTTGGCCACCATAGCCATCCGGATACTTGTATACCACTCGTTGTACCAAAGACAGAGTTGCGAGATTGTTGATTTGTGTGCAACTTGTGTGGAAAAAGACTCATGCGTGAAGCCTTGTGTGTGTGTCCAGTTGGTGAAGAGTGAGCGTGAACAGCTGTCTGAAAGTGTGGATCATTGCAAAAGGATCAAGCATGGAGATCTGACGATGCCTCCATATGGAGCAGCGCCCCCCTCGCACTCAGTGTCAAGGCCCTCTCCATGATGCGGTTTGCCACATCTATCTCACTTCCATCACAGGAATTCCTAAAGATCATTACAAGACGAGGTGCTGCATACTTATAGGCAGGGTGATGCCTTCCCAAAGAAGAGGTTCTCCATGAAGGGTCTTTTCTGGGTCATGAACATGTGCTCCTTGCACAAGTCGCTGTAGCAGCGCTTACGCATGGCTCACGCAGGAATGAATGAATGGCTGGGCGCTGCCTCTTGATTTATACTTCTGAAACTCGGTGGTCTGCCCCTTTCCATCGGCCCATGGTGCTCACAGTCCCTCATGGTACTTGCTGGACCGGACTGGGACTGACTGGACCTTACCGCTGACTGACTGTGGACTCACTGCTAACCTACCGTAGTCGTACTGCAATTGCACTGCAGTTTAGTCCACCACTTGACTCCTTGCCCACTTGCCCACTTGCTGACCTTCTAGAAGGACTACAGCTAGGCTTCTGGAACTCGCTAAGACTCCTGCTCTATAGATCTACAGATCGAACCCCTGCTTCCTTTGGGACCCTACGACAGACTACTAACTGTTACAAATACACAGGTCGCAGGTTCAACTCTCGGGGTCTACATGGATACTGTACACAGGTAGGGCAAGGTCTAGGGATCGAACCTTGGGATCTGCATCTGCTACTGCTAAGAGGTGAAAACCGTTTCACTCCCGCCGTCCTAAATTCGAGGTCCTCCGAGAATATTTCAGTCCAAGGCAGGACCTTTACCCTTCTTATCACACTCATAAGCTCTGACTATGTCGGGAGCTGTTTCTAGAAGCTGTTCTTGTGAACCAGCGGTAGTCTTCTGGTTCCTGATAAGCAAACCGGACCTTATACTGTTTCTGGGGACGACCCCTACCTCCTGTTCTGAACACATCCTCATCTACAATGCCGTCGATGTCATAACTTCCGTCCATATCCGGGGGGATCATGGATCTTCTTGAAGGGAACTGTTGACTTGTGACACACGGCAACAGCTTTGAAGCATGGAACACAGGGTATGTGTGGAGGTGTGCTGGTATCTCTATAGTGTAGGACGGTCCATCTTCTCCGCCCTTGACTTCTAGAACCGGCCACGGTCCTCTATATGCAGGCAGCAATTTCTGCGAGATGTGCTCCTCAGGTGCAAACTCTTTGGACTTGACCCAGACTAAGTCGCCTACTTGGAATTGAGACGGGCAACTATGCTTGTTGGCCTGTTCTATCATTCTGTGCTGGGCCTTCCCGAGGTTTTCAACAACTGTTGCTAGTTCTTTCTCGTGCTGTACTGCGAACTTCCTGGTACCGGGCGGTAGTCTGTGAATCTGATCCCGGTTCAGTCCTTCGATCGGTCTGCGTGGTCTAAAGGACTTGTGCARCTCATTGGGAGTGCGGCAGGTGGATAGATGCACGCTGTTGTTGTATGCACTAGCTACYTTAGGCAACATCTCATCCCAGGTTGATCTGATCTGGTCTAATGTACATGCGCAGAACTTGCTGTAGGATCTTGTTCATCTGTTCTGTCTGACCATTGGTCTCTGGATGGCAGCCAGACGACATTAACAACTTACATCCGTAAACTCTCTTGAGTTCTTGCCAGTTCTGGCTGGTGAAACGACTATCTCTATCGCTAACTATGGATAATGGGATTCCGTTCTCACTAACCCAATGATCAAAAAACTTCTGCATAACTAATTTGGTACGTGCCTCTGCAGGCAAGGGAACAAAAACGGCATACTTGCTAAAACGGTCAACTACGACCATGACTTGGCTCTTGCCATGCCTACTCTTGACTTGAGTATCCATGAAGACTATGGACACCGAGTCTCCAGGTCGATCAGGAATAGGCAGCGGTATGAGAAGACCTAGGGGCGCACATGTAGTAGTCTTATTTCTTTGGCAAACTTTGCAACTGCGAACATACTCTATGCAGTCATTCTTCATCCTTGGCCAGGTGTACGCACGCATCAGAGCTAATGTCTTCTGCCAACCGAAGTGTCCCTCTGTGTCATGGCATTCCCCTAGGATCAGACTGCGGATTTTCTCATTATTGGGAATGCATAGGCGGTCGAATACATCTGTCTTCTCAAACAGCAATCCTTTTGTAGTGCGGTAATGTGGTTCGGTCTCTTGGGCCTCCTTAACCCTCTTGAGGAGGTCACAATAGATAGGGTCATGTGCATACGCTTGCTTTACTTTCTCCTGCAGGTCTCTCCCTATATCCAGATAGTGTACTATGGCTCCGAAGTAGCCTGATCTTCTACTCGGAGCGTCCGCAACTACGTTGTACTTGCCCTTCACTAGCTTGAGCTCAAAGTCATACTGGTCTATTTCAGCGGCCCACCTAGTTAGCTTAGGTGTCATCTTGGCCTGAGTCTTTAACCAACGAAGCGTCTCATGGTCAAAATACACTTTGAAGTGCCTCCCAAGCAGGTAATGCTTCCAGTGCTCTAGCACCTGCCTGAGAGCGTAGAGTTCTCTCTCGTACGTCGAGGTGGCTACCTTCTCTGAGGGCATCCTCGCTGACATGAACTCTACGGGTCTATAGCCATTGCCATCGTCTTGCTGCGACACGACGCCTATCCCATACTGACTTGCATCCGTGGTGACGACAAATGGCAAAGATGGATCGGCTACTTTGAGGACGGGGTACTCTATCAGTGCGCGTTTTAACTTCTTTAGCGCAGACGTACAGTCTTTGTCCCATTGCTAGATTGCCTCTTTCATAAGCAACATGCACAGGGAGCGGCGATAGTAAAGAAGTTCCTCACGCACTTCCTATAGTAGTTAGCTGGACCTAAGAACGACCGCAACTCTGTCAATGTGCGGGGCGTCGGCCAGTCTCTAATCGCCGCGATCTTGCTGTCCTCTGGCTTAATGTCGTCTCCATCTAATACGTGGCCCACTCGCACTTCTTTGCATTGATCTTGAAGTTAGCCTCTCGTAGTTTCGCCAAGACCTGCCTCAGATGACCCTGGTGCTCCTGGAGGTTCCTACTGAAAACTAATATATCATCTAAGCAGACTACTGCAAACTTATTTAACCATGGTCTTAACAAATCATTGATACAACGCTGAAAGGTGGTTGGCGCGTTGGTTAGTCCAAAGGGCATCACTATGAACTCATAGTGCCCATATCTGGTCCGGAACGCAGTCTTGTACTCGTCATCATGATGGACTTTTATCTGATGATAACCGGACTTTAGATCTATCTTAGAAAAATACTTACACAACCCTGCAACCGATCTAGAAGATCGTCTATCCTGGGCAGCGGCTCAACATTCTTCACAGTAATCGCATTCAAACCCCTATAGTCTATACACATACGAAGCTCTCCTTCCATCTTGGGGACAAACAGGACTGGTGCTCCAAAAGGAGACGAACTGGGCCTGATCCAACCCTTCTCAAGGATCCCGTCTAACTGCTTGCGCACCTCCTCTAACTCTCTAGGGGACATCCGATAGACTACTCCCTTAGGAGTTTTACTGCCACGATCTATCTTTATCCTGTGCTGGATGGGTCGCGGCACTACTCCTGTCGGCGACTCAGTCAAGTCTTTAAACTCCTCCAGCAGCTTGGCAATGGTTGGATCTGTGGAAGTCACCTCTTCCTTAGCCTCAGTGACAGGTCTAACATAAACTACAAAGACCTGTTCCTCTAATCGCTCCTTCTTTACTAACCGCGCGAACGTGGGAGCACTGAGACAACAATGTGCCAGAGTGTTATCTACACCTGACACATGAAACAGGCGGGCAGTCTT